AACCGCCAACTTATCCAGCAAGTTTTTACGCAGCGGATGCCCTTCCAGCCACAACCCATCTCTGGGAAACATCCACACATATACATTCATACACTACGGACAATTTAGCCTACCCAATTCACCTGACTGTGGGGGAAACCGGAACACCCAGAGGAAACCCACGCAAACGCAGGGAGAACATGCAAACTCCACACAGAAACGCCAACTGAGCCGAGGATCGAACCAGCGACCCAGCGACCTTCTTGCTGTGAGGCGAACGTGCTACCCACTGCGCCACTGCGTCGCTATGTAGATTTTAATTTAATATAAAATTTATTATCTGTAAATTTCTGTATTCATTTGAAGCCTATATCATTTCAGTCTCATTAATCAAATCATAATGTACTTAGTGGTTCACTCATTCACATTTATTCTCTCATTCAGTCACCCAGTCGTTTTGTAAATTTCTCTTTTCATTTTAAGCCTATATTAGTTCAGTCTCCTTTGTCAAATCCTAATGTACTCAGCGATTCATTCATTCACATTTATTCACTCATTTACTCATTCTTGATCTTATATGCTTATGATATATATGCTTACATATGCTTATTCCTGAAGATAAATACCAAAAAATAACACAACTAATAAGAATAACTACAACAGTCGCGATCGTCTGATCTCATAGCAAGAGATCGCGATGACATATGATGACGTGTGCAGGTGCTGTAGTGCTGTCCCAATTCGTAGGGGTAAACTTTAAATCCAATCCCCTTCACACTCTGTTTTAAAGGCCAAGGAGAATGGGTAGGGGTACAAAAATTAGGATTGAGCCTTATTTATTCATTCATTCACTCATTCAGTCACCCATTCTGTAAATTTCTGTTTTTACTTGAAGCCCATACTAATTCAGTCTGCTTTATTAAATCCTAATGTACTCAGTAATTCACTTAATCACATTTATTCATTCAATTACTCGTTCTGTCACCGAGTCATTCATTTAATCTTTCCCTCACTCATTTACTCATTTCTTCACTCACTCGCTCACTCATTGATTGTGTACTTATGCACTTATTCACTCATTAACTTATTTATTCACTAGTTCACTCATTCAATCACTCGTTTAATAATTCATTCACTCATTCACTCACTGCTATCTTCATTCACACATTTTTTTCATAAATTTTCTCACTCAATGATTCATTTATTTATTCATTAATTCATTAATTCATTAATTCATTGATTCATTAATTATTCAACCACTCACTCACTCATTCACTAACCTATTTGCTCATTTGTTTATTCACTGATTCACCTTTACTCATTCACTTGGACAGCCTTACGTACTGATTCATCCACTTACTGATTTGCTTACTCAAATCTATTTACTTATTGGCTTGCTGATAAATTTTTCAATCATATACTCATTCATTCACTTACTCATATTTTCACTCATCCACTCATTCACTTGCTCACTCTTACTATTCATTTATTCTCTAATTCACTCACTCAGCAATTCCCTCATTTACTGATTCGTTCACTGAATTTATTCACCATTTCACTCATTACATTCATTCACTCACTCATTTCTTCACTTGTGTATTTACAGATTCATTCACTCTCTCACTTTTTTAACCAATTCATATTTACTCATTCACTTGGACACTCGTTTTTTACTGATCCACTCACTCAGTCATTCACTAAAAGATTGACTCATTCACTTGCTGACAAATTAGTCACTTGTCACACTTATTCACTAATTCACTCACTTTTTAACTGATTCACATTTATTCATTTATTTTGGCACTTGTTTTTTACTCATTCACTCACTCACTCACTCATTCATTCATTCAAAGATTGACTCATCCACCTGCACTCGTGTACTCATTCACTCACTTACACCACAGATTTGTCATATTTGCTAGCTCACTAATCTGTTCATATATTCACTAATTCACTCATTCATGGATTTATTCATGTTTCATTCACTGACCCATTCACACTTGCTGATAAATTTGTCACTCATTCACTCACTTGCTCACTTTCATGGCTCATTTATTTTGTAATTCTCTCACTTAGTAATTCCTTCATTTATTCACTGATTCGCTTACTTACTGATTTACTCATATTTTATTCACTCACTCACTCATTCATTCATTAGTTCATATTAGTGTGTCATATAAGGATCTACTAGATTTTCATGGGTTATGTAATATTCTCAATTACTCAAATTTACTTACTAACTCCCTTATTTATTCACTGATTTACTCATTTTACATAGACTTACTCATTTACTCATTCTTTTAACTGATTCATAATTACTTATATTTACTAATATTCACTTGTTTTTTATTAATCCATTCACTCACTCACTGATTTGCTCTCTCAAACGTATTTACTCATTAACCTGACATTCACTCATGTACTTACTCACTCACTCACTCACTCATATTTTAAGTCATCCACTCATTCACTTGCTCACTCTTACTACTTATTTATTCTCTAATTCACTCACTCAATAATTCCTTCATTATTTCACTGATTCACTCACTCACTGATTCAATCATAATTTACTCACTCAACCAGTCTGTCACTCACTCACTCACTCACTATTAGTGTGTCATATAAGGATCTACTAAATTTTCATGGATTCTGTAATATTCTCAATTACTCAAATTGACTTACTAACTCCCTTATTTATTTACAGATTCACTCATTTTAAATAGACTTACTCATTTGCTCACTCACTTTTTTTAACTCATTCATATTTACTTATATTTACGGTCCCACTTTATATTAAGTGTCTTTAACTACTATGTACTTGCATCAAAAAAATAAATACAAAGTACTTTCTGTGTTTATGATGTATTTCAGAACACTGGTGGTGCTTTTGAGTTGGGATAGAGGTTGGGTTATTTACAGGTTTGGAGGCATGGGTAGGTTTAAGGGTGGGTTAAGGTGTAAGGGATGGTCAACAGTGTATTTACAAATGTAATTACAAAAGTTAACTACAGATGTAATTACATACTTGTATTTAATCAAGCATAAGTACAAAATAAATACATGTATTTACACAATAAGTACATTTTAACAAACTATTAATTCCTATGTAAGTACATATTAGTTAAGGCCACTTAATATAAAGTGGGACCTAATTTACTAATTCATATTTCACTTGGGCAATTGTTTTTATTGATCCATTCACTCACTCACTGATTTGCTCTCTCAAATGCATTTTCTCATTCACCTGATAATGAATTTGTCACTCATGCACTCACTCATTCACTCACTCACTCACTCACTCACTCACTCACTCACTCACTCACTCACTCACTCACTCACTCACTCATTTTCACTCATCCATTCATTCATTTGCTCACTCTTACTACTTAGTTATTCTCTAATTCACTCACTTAATAATTCCTTCATTTATTCACTTATTCACTGATTCACCTATATTTTATTTACTCACTCACTCATTTGATCATTCAATCACTCACTCATACTCATTCGCCACTATTTCTTTTCACTAATTTTACTATTATGCTACATTGTACTGATTAACTCATGTCTCACTCACTGACTAATTCATTCATTAGTTCATATTAGTGTGTCACAAAGGATCTACTAGGTTTTCATGGATTACGTAATATTTCTGTTGCGTTTGTACTTATTTGTACATTCAGTTGTTTATTTGTACATTTAGCTGGTTAGTTTCAGATGGTTCATAGAAATACTCATTCATTCATTCATTTTCTTGTCGGCTTAGTCCCTTTATTAATCCGGGGTCGCCACAGCGGAATGAACCGCCAACTTATCCAGCAAGTTTTTACATAACGGATGCCCTTCCAGCAGCAACCTATCTCTGGGAAACATCCAAACACACATACACACACACACTACAATTTAGCCTACCCAATTCACCTGTACGCATGTCTTTGGACTGTGAGCACCCGGAGCAAACCCACGCGAAGGCAGGGAGAACATGCAAACTCCACACAGAAATGCCAACTGAGCCGAGGTTCGAACCAGCAACCCAGCGACCTTCTTGCTGTGAGGCGACAGCACTACCTACTGCGCCACTGCCTCGCCCTCATAGAAATACTATTGGCAATAATACAGCTTTGTATCTAGAGGATGGTATATTCCGCCCTGGTGTATAACTTTTATTAGAGCTTGAGAATGACATTTGATAAATGTAGTTTTTTTTTTTCAAGAGATTACCATTTGATTACACATATCTACAGTGTTGCACCGTGTTTCTATTTTTGGACTGTTCCTGTATTCATCTTTGAAATTTATCATCTTTTTAAGTGTCATTTAACTAGAATAATAGCTGTTTGACCAAAACAAAAAAGCATAAGGGGGGGAAGGTGTAGGAAAAGATGGATGGATGCTGGCAGTAAAATACAGTGTTTGATCTTACCTTACGTTTTGTGGACTTAAAGCCACCATTAAGACAATATAGATTTTTTTTTTCTATCTGAGTTATTAGAGCTCTTTCTCCTCTCTCACTATACTTTAAACAGGAAAACCTGCAAGCTAATGTAACCTCTGGTTGTCCCGTTCCATGCAGAGGCCTTGGCCTGTTCACTGGAGAGGGGAAAAAAAAGTGCTCCTGATGGATCAGATATGTGGGTGGATGGAGGCTGGGAAATCGGTAGGGGAGGGCGTCCCTGGAATCCGATCCCCCTAGTATCGCTCCCTCTCTCCTGCTTCCTGCCCTGTTTGGAAATGTGACTTTTCCCCAAGGCAGAAGAGAAGGTAGGAAGGAAAAGAGAGAGACGGATTGTGGTCAGGGGGAAAAAGGACCAGTTCTCGCAAGGGTCTGACTTTGCAGTGAGGGGCAGTGAAGCTAGGAAAGTGAGCGATGGATAAAAGAAGAAATAGAGTGGTCATAGATGAGCAGAGAGGAAGAGACACGGTAGGAGGGGTGGGCTGGACAGAGAGGTGAAGATAAACTGCCCATTGCAGATTATTACGGGACAAGAGAGGGCAAGAGGAGGGAGGGAGGGAGGAAGAGCGTGAACTGTACAGTACAAGTTGAAAGAAGATACAAAAGCACTTGATGCTGACTCCGAGGAAACAGACAAGGGAAGAGATTGACAGCAGAACCCCCTGAGAAGGAGGAGACGAAGAATCGCATTCTTCGGGACCACTCCCAAGACATGTCACCAAAATTAATGGAGCAATTAAAAGGTTTGATGGGGACGAGGAATTGAGAACTTCCCTGGATTTGCTTTAGGTTGAAGTCGGATCCACCCTGTCTGCAAAGGATTTCCGTACCTTGAAAGGGTTTGCACCAACTTTGTGTTTTACGCTGGAGGCCACCGAATGTTTTGGAACAGGATTTGAGATCCCATCTCACTGGTTGTCGCAGTGATCGAAGCAGAGCCAGATGTTGATCCTGAACATAATTAAATTGAGCATTTTTAACGACTTATACGTGGACTGTTGTTCCCATTTGAGGCACCGGGGTGCTCATTAGTATCAAATTTCTATGTCAACATCAACAGTTCCCGATTTAAGAGGCACTTAGGACTTGGAACGAAATATGATCATTTTAACTACAAAATCAGCACAGTATGTCTATTGCTCCCAAGTCATGATTTCACATTGTACTTTTCTGGATCTTTTGAATGGATCTCCATGAATCTCTTGTTTTACAAAGAAACGTACACCGTTGGATCAACAACCTTGAATATCGCAGCGTCGCAGCAGCACTTCTTCACATCAAAGTTTAAAATGCTCTTGTCTGTTGTTGACACTTGCAAATAACATTTGCGGCCAAGGATGGATTTTACACATCTGGACTGTGTACGAGAACTGCAATCCTGCTCTTTATTTATGCTATGGGGCTTTCAAGAAGAATGACCTAACATGGAAACACTGACTTCTCCTCTCATCTCCAAAATAAGTGGACTCTTTTTTTTCATCCCATGCACACAGCAAGCTTGACGTTTTCTGCCAAAAATATCCCCTGATTTCCCTTTTAAATATTCTTCTGAGGAACTAATGAAATGAATCTTTCTTTTTGAGACACCCAGCGTCTGGCGCCATGCTATATCGGCAAGTTGGCTTTGTCCCGTGTTAGTACACAGATTATTACTTTCACTTCCAATAGTCCTAGAAGTTCTGGTGCCAGGAGCCGTAAATCACAGCAGCCATGGGGATTCAGGGAATGGAGCTGTTTGCCATCGGAGTAGTCATCATTCTGTTCGTGGCTGTCCTTAAACAGTTCGGCATTCTGGAACCCATGTCGCTGGAAGGTAAGGAGCTTTCTAGAAGCTAGGTCCTCCCCTTTGTTGTCATTGCGATAAGATTGACCAATGAGGCCTGTGGAGCTAGAGTTGCGTCAGGTGCATTCCGATGATAGAGAAAACTATATATTATGGCTCTTAATATTGTGTTGTTTGAGTTGTGTAGAAAGTTTGTGCGTCTCATAGTTCTTTGTTTGAATGCAGTAAGAGATCGTCGCTGTTGAGTTTTCCTTGCTTGTGTCTCTTGAAGGTCATTGGGTTTTATGTGGCTGGCGGGAGAGTAACTGATGCATGTGGATATAAACATAACACATACCTGTTACAGCATGTGTTTATGTGGGAGAGCAGCACCATGATAGTGTGGGAACAAAACTACTATGTTAAAATCTAAAGTAAATTAACTAAATGATTTTTAAAATTAACAATGTTTCATTTATGTAATACTTTATTTAATGATACTCTATATTTGAAAATATATATTTAAAAAATTGTGGTGCAGATTCATTTTATTATGCTTGCATCTTTTAATAACTTTATATACAAAAAAAAAGAAAGAAAAGATTCTCTGGATAAACAGAGGCATGCTATTTCTTTTTCTGTTAAAGTAAAATTCCCAAAAATAGAAACATCTGATCATCATCATATCACTGTTTAAATTACACTTACGTTACCAAAACCTTGACAGACACCAGTGTTTTTCATGTTACTTTAAAAAGTAATTAGTTATAGTAACTAGTTTCTTATCAGTCACAAAAAGTAACTATTGCTACTATTGATTATTTCCTCATGTCAGATCAATACTAGTTTTAGTTGATTTAATGTAGTGACTTCGACTACCCCTAACGAAAGTCTCACCAGCATTTTTAGTCAATCATCATCAGTTATGTAGTTGTCCCTTCCCTACAAAGACTGCCAATCATCATCAGTTATGTGCCCCACTCTCACACACACAGAAACATTGTTGCAATGAAGAAACTGTAATTCAATTGATTAATTGTTACAGAAAACTAATTCGGTTACTACCTAAGTAACTGAAAAAGTTAATCATTATAAAAGAAAATAAGCACCAGGGGATTACTTTTAAAAGAAAAAATATGTTTAAAAAAAGGACAAATTGTATGTTGTATAAAATGGACAGTAAATAAATGACATTCAGTGGTTCATTCAGTTGTGGCGACCCCTGATAAATCAGGGATTAAGCTGAAGGAGAATGAATGTAAATATATTATAATTTCTATAGTGGAAGAATAAAGCATAACATTTTAGAACTTATAATAATTTAAAAAACAGGCCAAAAATGTATCTAAAAATAAATTATGCTTCTGAAGTATGAAAAATGTCACACAAATGGAGTTAAAATATTACAGTATTATTTTTATATGAAATATAAAGGGCGACACGGTGGCTCAGTGGTTAGCACTGTCGCAAGAAAGCAGCTGGGCCAGTTGGCATATCTGTGTGGAATTTGCATGTTCTCCCCGTGTTAACATGAGTTTCCTCCTGGTGTTCCGGTTTCCCCCACAGTCCAAAGACATGCGCTGTACTGTAGGTGAATTGAAAAAACTAAATTGGCAGTAGTGTATGTGTGTGAATGAGTGTGTATGGATTTGTCACACTACTGGGTTGCAGCTGGAAGGGCATCCGCTGTGAAAAACATATGCTGGATAAGTTGGCGGTTCATCCCGCTGTAGTGACCCTAATGAATAAAGTGACTAAGCTGAAGGAAAATGAATGAATGATTTAACAATAAATTAAACTAGATGATTAGATTAGATTCAACTTTATTGTCATTGCACATGTACATGGCAAAGGTATGCAGTATATATACATTTCACATATTATACTTTATTAAATAATACTCTATATTTATAAAAATATCTATCTTTTTTAATTGGGGTGGGGATTAGTTTTATTATGCTTGCATCTTTTAATGACTTTATTAATAAAAATGAAAAACATGTGCTTAATATTACACTGATGGCCGTGTTATATAAATAAGGCAAATTAAATTATTTGAAAAACTATGAAAACAAAAAAAAAGAAAAATAGATTTTACTTTAGACGCCCAGTAAAACGTTTAACTAAAATCTTTAAGCTGATTTATTTTTTGTGTATATACAGTATAGATTAACTTTAGTTAATTTCATGTACATTTATTGTACTAGTATGTAGAGCTGCACGATTCTGGCAAAAATGTGAATCACGATTTTTTTTGCTTAAAATCAAGATCATGATTCTTTCTCACGATTCTATAAATGTAAAATAAAGGTTAATATGATTAGCCTATTATTATTGTTAATTCTCAAACATTTGGTAAAACAACAATAATAATATTAGGCCTGTGTGTATGTAAAACTGTTGCTTAAAATGCAAAAGCTTTTATTATGGTGGACTTGAAAAGACTTTCAGTATGTCCTGTTTGTTAATTCACAGTAAAATTATGACATCAGAATACAACTATTCAGAATTATAAAGTTAATTTATTATGTTTAAGACTTGAGCTTGTCATTTGTCATTGACAACATTAATAGACCATTTGTTTTCACTGGTAAATTTTGTCATTATCATATATATATATATTGTCATATATTCAACATTATATGCTAGGGTTGTTATACTGACACAGTAAACATTTATTTTCATGCACAACACTTTGTGTTCGCTATGAAAGAAAAAAACATATCAAATGTTTGTCGTAATCATAACTGTAAAATGCGATATGATCATTTAAATGATGTGCGCACAGGTTTCACTTTCACTGCTCATGGCTGCTGTCACTGTGATAAAAACACACACATACATGCAAATCAAACCTCCCGCACGGCCCTCAAATGATTGCTCTGTACAACAAACTGAACGTTTTTTACAACTTCACTACCTGTTATCCACAGCCTATGCAGCTTCTGTCCACTAAAGTAGGCGTCATAGACGGGCATGTGCGCGTTCTCTGCAATGTTGCCAGATTGGGCGGTTTTCCGCCTGATTGGGGGGTTTTGAATTTATTTTTGCGGGTAAAAAATGACATAGGCGGGTGGTGTAAAATTGGGTGGTTTTGTAACAGCTTGCCCGCCAGCCCTGGTCTTCACTTATAAACCTGTTATGATCCCCCAAAGAGGCGCCGTAGCCCCCGGTCTCCACATACAAACGCTTACAACATTTGTGATCTTCCAACGAGAATACAGATTTTTGGGCGGTGCTTTTTAGTTTTTAGTGGGTTTTAGACTGGAAACAGTCAGCAACATCTGGCAACACTGGTTCTCGGAAGTAAACAAACAGCTGGCAGTCAGCTCACGTGTGATTTTGCGGCTGCGAATACATCATTACATAAAGACAGAAATGACTTCTGGGTAAATTATACCTTATAAATACAGTTTGTGACACTTTTAACACCATTTGAAGGTGTTAATGTTGCTGTGAAGATTTGTGTGGCTGCCTTGCTTCTCTTCTGACCTTCCTGAATCGTAGAAAAGCTGCAGATCGTGTGTAGGGTTGAATCGAGATCGTGATCTTTTTTCGATTAATCGTGCAGCCCTACTATTATGCAGATTTTAGGAGTAAATAAAGTGCAAATTTTTCAAATTCAAGGTTTTATGCTAAAATGTATTGATACAGTTTGTTCAATTGTTCATTTATATAATCAGTGCTATAGATAAGATTAGCATGTCAATTTACAACCCTAGGATTTCCCCCTAAAATGAAGTCTGTTTTTGGCTTATTTGGAAGTGGCGTAAATATTAGTGCTCTGCTTTTATTGCTTCACAGCAGGTCATTCACTATCTCAACGCCTCAAATAGCAAATAGATATCCAATGTCAGACGCAAACACAGGACCTGTGATGTACTCTGAAATACAAGCATGCAAAATAATCATACTTCAGTTTTCAAAATATATTTTAACAAATTGAGCAGATGCCTTGTCGAATGACAACCACGATTACAAACCATCATCAGCCAGGAATTAGACACTCTTAGGGGCTGCTCACATAGCATGTATTTTGCGCTCTCACGTCTGTTATTTCAAATGCAGATGTGTGGCAAGTATGTGAAAATAGTGAGAAATATGAGATCTTGTTTATCATGTGACAAGCATTAACCAATCAGCTTTGTTTGAATTCTAAGCATTTCAGTAATAACTAATTATCTCAGACAAATGCAGATCATCAAGTTGGCAGACCATCAATGATGGTTGCTTAGGAACAACAGATGTCATGGTATCAGTTATGTGGTTATCCCTTCCCTACACACACACACATGACAATAATTATCAGTTATGTGCCCATATCACGCACATAGTAACATTGTTGTATTGAGAAACAGTAATTTAATTGATTACTCAATACCGGAAAAAAAGGAGGATTTCCATATGCTGAATTCTTATTACTCCACTATGCCTATAGATATACACAGTTTTCCATTCTATGGCACCTTTAAAATTTGTACAAATCAGTGCACTCATCAATGTCACTTTTTAGCCAGCCATCCAGTCACAGAAGAGAAGGGGTGGGGCAAATAACACACTGATCAACTGTCATACCATAAAGCAGAGCAACAGAAGAAAAAAATGCCAAGCAGGTGAACTGAGATCTGCGAAAAGAATGATAGTGGTTCACCTTAAAATAAACTGATGTGATTTAACTAAAATATGAATGCAATACATTTTTCCATTACTGGGTTGCAGCTGGAAGGGCATCTGCTGCATAAAACATATACTGAATAAGTTGGCAGTTCATTCCACTGTGTCAACCCAAGGGTAATAAAGGGACTATGCCGAAAAGAAAATTAACTAATTAATGCACAAATGAAAGGCAAGTTATTGTGTAATGATGGTTTGTTCTGTAGACTATCAAAAAAAATTGCTTAAAGGGGCTAATAATTTTGTCCTTAAAATGTTTTTTTTTTAAATTAATAACTATTTTTATTCTGGGTGAAATAAAACAAATAAGACTTTCTCCAGAAGAAAATATATTATCAGACATATTGTTAATTTCCTAGCTCTGTTAAGCATAATTT